TCCAGTGAAATATATTTATGTTTGTGGTTGTAATGTGACAAAATATGGAAAAGTTCAAGGGGTATGAATACTTTTGCAAACCACTGTACATATAATGATATGGGTAGTGTGGGAGAAACAGAAATGTGGAGTACAGAACGGTCATATAATAAAACACAATAAAGCAGAAAAATTGAACAATAGGGTTGTGGGGGAGAAACATCGAAGTGAGGACAACAAAAACAGACATATATTGAAAATCGGAGTTAACAGTTGTAGGCTAATTTGAAAATATGTGTCTTCAGGCTGGTCTTAAACAGGGAGAGAGAGGTGGTATTGCGTAATCCATGGGGTAATGAGTTCCACAGCTGAGGAGCAGAGCGGCTGAAAGCTCTGCTTCTCGTGGTGATGAGGCTGGCAGGGGGTACTGAGAGGTGGAAGGAGAAGGCAGATCTTAGAGAGCGGGAGGGTGTGGAGATGTTCAGGAGGTCAGATAGGTAAGGAGGGGAAAGATTGTGGATAGCTTTGAAGGTGTGTAGGAGAATTTTGAAGATGCTGCGGGATTTAACTGGGAGCCAGTGGAGCTGTTGTAGGACTGGAGTGATGTGGGCAGAGGATGAGGTTTGAGTGATTACACGGGCGGCTGAGTTCTGAACCATCTGTAGTTTGAGATGGGATTTATTGGGGAGGCCAAACAGTAGGGAGTTGCAGTAGTCAATCCTGGATGTTACTAGGCTGTGTACAAGGATGGCAGTGGAGCGGGGAGTGAGTGAAGGACGGAGACGGTTAATGTTGCAAAGATGAAAGTAGGCAGATCGAGTCACGTTGTTAATGTGGGATGTGAAAGAGAGTGTGGTGTCAAGGATGACACCTAGGTTTTTGATCTGAGGCGAGGGGGAAAGAACGGAGTTGTTAAGAGTGAAGAGAAGATGCTGGGATTTGAAAATGGAGTTTTTGTCCCAACAAGGAGGAGTTCAGTTTTGTTATGGTTTAGTTGGAGGAAATTGTTAGAGAACCAGTTATTGAGCTCATTGAGGCAGTCGGTAAGAGTTGAGGATGATAAGGTGGCGTTTGGTTTTGTCGAAATGTAGAGCTGAGTGTCGTCGGCATAAGAGTGGAAATGAACACCAAATTTACGGAAGATGCGGCCAAGCGGGAGCAGATAGATTATGAAAAGTAGAGGCCCGAGTACAGAACCTTGGGGAACACCAGTGGAAATTGGTGAAGACTGGGAATGGAAGGACTTGAGCTGTATGAACTGAGTGCGGTCAGAAAGATAGGATTTAAACCAGTCCAGTGGGGCGTCTAAGATGCTGATAGAGGTTAGTCTGTCGATGAGGATAGGATGAGAGATGGTGTCAAAGACAGAGCTCAGATCAAGGAGGATGAGTATTGACAGAAGTTTTGAGTCAGCAGCAAGGAGAAGATCATAAGAGCAGTTTCGGTACTGTGTTGTGGTGGAAAACCTGATTGGAACTGTTCATAGAGATTATTGCTGGAGAGGTGTGAGTGAAGCTGATTAGCGATGACCTTTTCAAGGATTTTAGAGATGAAAGGCAGATTAGAAATGGGACGGAGGTTATTGAAGTGAGTCGGATCAAGACCTGTTTTCTTTATGATGGGGGTGATATATCTGATTTATCATCTGATGATCAGTTTTGGTTCAAACCAAATTCAATTTCAATTTAGAAAACAAGTGAACAATATAAAAATCCCAATCTGATAAAATAAAACATCCCTCTCTGTAAGTTACACAGTTATAATAGAACTATTTTCTTTAAGCCAGTTTTTATTGGTAGTGTTTATACTGTATTTATGTTTGACATCTTTATTAGGCCTGAATGTGAGCAACCAGGAACTCTAATAAAATCAAACCAGCAGGCCAGTGATGACATCATTTCCTGTGACATCACAAAAAGCTACAGTAATAGCTACTCACCTCCAGGGCATCATCTTGCAGCAGAGATAGAAGCTCATTGTGGATTAAGCTGACATCAGAACCTAGCAGCTTCGCCACCTGAAAGAGAAGGAAGAATGGTCATGTGACTTGAAGACAGTCCATCTAGGTGAGCTAGACAGGTTTTTCTCACCTGGTGGAACATGGCGGCAGCATTTTGTCGAACGCTGACCTCTGGGTCTCTACAGAGACTAGAGAAAGATGGGTAAAGGTCCAACAGGAAGCGGGCTGAGTCCACAAATGCCAGCATGGCCTGGAAGAACAGGACAGGAAATGAGCTCAGCACCTGAAGAAACCATAAACCCTGAACCTGGACCACCAGGAACCTTGAGGTTGTCTGTGTGTGAAGGTACCGGCAGGTTGTAGCAGCAGTTTGAGCGAATCAGTGCAGAATCGTTGCTCTCCATCTGGTTACCTTCGGTAGAAAGTCCAGTGACACACAGAACTTGAAACTTCTGCAGCATGAGACGCTTCTGCTCATCTGACAAGAAACCTGAAACCACAGACCCATCATCAGAAACACAGCAAAGAACTTCACACAACACTCTGACACTGATCCAAAAAATACAGCACAATACAATATAAAGCACATTAAAAACAACACCGTTGGCCAAAGTGCTGTACGTTAATAAAAACACATAAAAACAAACATAAAAACGATAAACTAAGTAAAATGAACCATATCATAAAAACAGCAAAAAGTAAAAACATTAAAACCAACATCTCAAACTGAATCAAATCCAAGGAGAAAACAGTTTTGAGAGCAGATTTGTGAGTCGGCCTGTCTTGTGTACAAAGGCAGCTCATTCCACAGTTTACAAGTGACTGAAAATGCTCAATCACCATCAAAAAACCTTAACAGAACTCATGATATCCAAAGGATCTCCAGAGGAAAACACACCTGGACCAGTCCCTCTGTGTTTCTGTCTCTCTTTCCTGTCCTCCAAACCCAGCCGCTAGAGGAGTTTTTCCTCTCCACTGTCACCAACGTGCTGCTCCGGATGGGACACTGGGCCGAAATAATTCAACACAATCTCCTGGCTTCTTTAGATTTATAGTTTTTTTGTGTACAAAGACCTGAGATATTAGTTGTGACTTGGTGCTATATAAGTTCACTGAACTGAACTGTGAGGTCCTCAAACTACTCAGATGTAGTGAACTTGTGAAGGATCTACTGCATGTAGTCAAGCTCAAAAGCAAAGCCTTCCACTCTTGGAAACACAAGTAAAGTTTTTGACCCCAAGTCTGGAGCAGAACCCAGATCTGGTTTTGTTTGATTGTCACTTGGACACAGAGTTCTGTTAGGACTGTATGATCCCAGCGTTGGTTCTTACCTGCTAGTACACTGCAGAGCGTCCCAAACCGGAATGACAATGATGTTGTGATGGCTTTGTCCACCTGAGATGAAGCGTTGCACACCGACATCACCATGGGAGTCAGGACATGGAGGCGGTCATCTGAGGTAGAGGAGGGGTTTTACCCATTGATCTATAATACTGGATTGGACATCGCATATAGCCGCTATAGCTAGTGATGCGCTGTCACAGGAGCCATTCTGCATTGAGTCATGTCAACAAAACGGTAGAGTTTCAAAGCGGAATGCGCGTCAATCTGTCACAAAAATATTCAAAGCACCCTCATTTTATAAAATATGGCTTAAATTAAAGCTGAGAAAATTGTCGATGTTGTGATATGTAAATAATATGTATTTTCTCAAGAGATAAATCTATAAGCAGTCTGGGATCTTTTCATTATAGGTTTTTGCTAACGTATTTACAGTAGAAGCCCCTTTCCATCATATAAAACTGAGTCATGTGTGTCATATACAGGTCCTTCTCAAAAAATTAGCATATTGTGATAAAGTTCATTATTTTCTGTAATGTACTGATAAACATTAAACTTTCATATATTTTAGATTCATTGCACACCAACTGAAGTAGTTCAAGCCTTTATTGTTTTAAAATTGGTGATTTTGGCAAAAAAGTAAAGAAAAATCAAAAATCACTATCTCAAAAATTGAGCACATTTCATCCGACCAATAAAAGAAAAGTGTTTTTAATACAAAAAAAGTCAACCTTCAAATAATTATGTTCAGTTCTGCACTCAGTACTTGGTGGGGAATCATTTTGCAGAAATGACTGCTTCAATGTGGCGTGGCATGGAGGCAATCAGCCTGTGGCACTGCTGAGGTGTTATGGAGGCCCAGGATGCTTCGATAGAAGTTCTGAGCCACTTAAAGTGTAACTTACCCCCCTGTGAAAGGATAACTCCGCCCCCAAAGCAAATTTGAAAAATGCATAAAGTGGAGAC